GATCCAAATGTAATGCACAAACCTCCATCGGACCATGATTGGAAAAAAATGGTTACAAAAACGTCCCTGGCATAACTGAGTATATTTGAAACAGACCACGTTAGGTGACAATCTGAAATAATTCATCCTCTCAAGTGGTATTTTGATTATAGCTGTATTTTAAGAGAAGTATGATCAAGTATTTACAAGCATTTCGTCTTGGTATCACAATACAGACATACCACATACATAAATGAAATGCCAAAAGTTGCTAATTTCAGCGAAAGGTAGAGAGAGTTCACTTTTTGAACAGTGCTATAATTATGAACATTTTCATAATAAAGAATTGATTACATATTATTTAAATAAAAACATAAATCTCACTTCCTAGAAACAAATACTAAAGACCCCTTATAGGGTCCATAAGACCCAAGTTCAGAATTACTGATCTAGATCATTCTTTTGTTTGTTTACCTTCCAGAGTGTTAAATAAAAACGAGAGGTACCTCAACTGCAAGAGACAAACTATCAGGCTCTTGTGTGTAACAGGAATAATGCAAGTGTGGCCTGAAGACACAGGACTGAGCCAGGCGGTGACTGGAGGATGGGGGTGCGGGGGGGTGGAGGCTGCAGTGAGCCTCTGAAGGCTCAGACTTTCCTTGCTGCCTGAGGTCAGGATTGTAACAGGAGAGCTGATGTATTTTAAAATGTGAAAGAAGACAACTGTCAATACTTTGTAAACATAATCATTTGTGCTTAAATAGGAGGGTTTTAAGGGGGCTTCCCAGGTGGTGCGAGTGGTAAAGAACTCTCCTGCCAATACAGGAGATGCAGGTTCAATCGCTGGGTCAGGACGATCCCCTGGAGGGCATGGCAACCTACTCCAGTCTTCTTGCCTGGAGAATCCCATGGACAGAGCAGCCTGGCGGGCTACAGCCGTGGGCTCACAAAGAGTCACACAGGCCTGAAGTGACTGAACACACAGCACAGTGAGCTAAGATTCCACACATGACTTAGCATGGCACGTAGGGTTTTAAAGGGCAATGATTTCCCACTAAACAAAAGGCATAAAAAATTAACACACACACACATATATATATATAAAGCCACAAGGATTGAAATGAAGGGGCTATCAAGAATTCAAACAACCAATTCAAGGAACCCTCAAAATGTATTACAACACACACACGCGCACGCACACACACACCTGTCACAATGGGGAATTTCAAATAAGCTCTGTGGACGGGATCAGTGCGCCGAGCCCCATAGCTCACCTTGGATCTACACCATGCAGGCAGACACACATGCTATAATCTAACACTGAAGTCCAGGTCAGTTCTGTGCAGGACTTTAGTTGCAACACTGTACTACAGTTATGCAAGATGTGACCCTCGGGGAAAACTGGGTGCAAGATACGTGGGACCTCCTCCAACATTTTTCTGCAAATTCTTGTGAATCTCTAATTATCACAAAAGTTATGTATTGTAGATCTCACAGCCTGGTCTTGTCCTGTTTGAACACGCCCTTCAAAACCTCTCCACCACCAATCAGATACATGACACTCTTTCTTTAAAAAGAACTCTTCCAAATCCTAAAGAAAAGCGATTCTTTTAAAAAAAAAAAAAGAGTTGAAGCTCAAGAAGAAATATAAAGACATGTGTACATCTCTAGCAAACAAAGGGCTCCCTCCCAGACCCCTCGGTCTCCCAGAAAGCACCAGGGCAAAATAGGAATTCTCTGTCTGCTTTGTTTTCCGGGGCCACACAATCAAGTGAAGCAGGTGAAGCGGACTCGGGCAGCCAGCCTGGAGTGGTTCATTCAGGGCTGAGGACAGCTGACAGCTGGGACAGAACCACCCCCGCCATCCCCCTCCCCACACCTGCTGCTCCTCTGGCCTTCAGAGAGCCTGAGCAACAACCAGGAGCCTAACAACTGCCTCTCAATGTCACTCAAGGAACAGGCTCGACAGGCAGAACCAGCCTGAGGTTCTTCCTAAGGATTAGTGTCCACACATTTTTGCTCCCAAGATGAGACTGAGTGGACTCAGAAATCAGGAAGGACCCTGCTCCCGACCAGGAACCCTCTCCCACAGCCCCTCCTGCTGGAGCTGCAAGCAGAAACACCAGCTGCCAATTCTCCCTCCTGCTCCCAAAGCTTGGCAAGAAGGGCAGAGAGGCAGGCCCCTGGAAGGGAAGGTCTGGGGCCATGTTCCCCAGGGTGCCGACTGCACCAGCTCTCCACCCACCATCATATTTGCTCACAGGTCAGAGGTCACCCTGGAGAGAGGTCACTGCATGAACACAGCCCTCGAGAAACGTTACTGAGAGGCCAACACGGTAAACGGTTGGTTGGGTTTTTATCTGCTCTGAAGACGCACCATCTGGTTTTCATTTCACCTGAACACATGGGTTTTGCATAATTATTATTAAAGGAGTCTTGCAAATGCATTTGTCCGATGCTGCCTGATTTTTTCAGGCAAGGAAATACCTTTGTGTGTGCTGTGCTGTGCTAAGTGGCTTGTCGTGTCTGGCTCTTTGCAACCCCATGGACTGTAGCCCGCCAGTCTCCTTTGCCCACGGGATTTCCCAGGCAAGAACACTGGAGTGGGTTGCCATGCCCTCCTCCAGGGGATCTTCCTGGCCCAGGGACTGAACCCACGTCTCTGGCATCTCCTGCACTGGCAGGAGGGTTCCTCACCATTAGCGCCACCTGGGAAGGCCCTACCTTTCGCACGCAACTCACCCCAAGTGTCTGGTACACACACACGGGCCCGTGTTTTAGAGCCATGCCTAGAGAGATGCTGGTGAGGAGATGCGCAAGGGCACCAACGATGACAACTGCTAAATGGGGGAAGTAGGGGGGTTTGCTGTACCTTTTACTTTCCTGTATTTTACACTTTAAAACCAACCAACCACCCAACAACAACTGTTCATTGCAGAGAAACAATGCGCAGTGTGCACCGCAGGGATGAAGAGGATGCCCACAGAGCAGGCAAGTTCACTACAGCGCTCCTGGAGGTGTCAGCCAGGCAGCGGGGGCTGGAGCCAGAGAAGAGCCTCCGCTCTCAGGGGGGTTGGCAGATACTGCACGGAATTTCCAGAGATGATGTTTAAAAGGGTACCCANAGGCAAGTTCACTACAGCGCTCCTGGAGGTGTCAGCCAGGCAGCGGGGGCTGGAGCCAGAGAAGAGCCTCCGCTCTCAGGGGGGTTGGCAGATACTGCACGGAATTTCCAGAGATGATGTTTAAAAGAGTCTGCCCACAACCAAGGCAGGAAGGGCACTGGTAAATGTCAGAGGCTGGAGATGCACCACCAGGCAGCGTGAGCAGCCTGGTGGGAAGGGGCCCCGCTGGTCCATTCAGGGAGCACCTCATCAGTAACTGGCTGCGCCATTTCAATAACGGGAAGTCGGCATCTGCAGCGTTCACCACTCTGTGATCTTAACCTTAGCATTTAACTGGAAAAGAATCCAATAGGATCACTAGAACACAACAGAAATCACCTAGGAGGTTACAAGAATCCTCTGGCCAGCCAAACAATGGTACTTTTTTTATTATAAAAAAAAATAACAGTGGGATTTCCTGGGCTGTTCAGAAGTTAAGACTCCGCACTTGCAATGCAGGGGTCATGGGTGCGATCCATGGTTGGGAATCTAAGATCCCAAGTGCTGCAAGGTGCAGCTAAAAGGATTAAAAAAGAGAGAGAAGAGTGCAGTCACTGCATCAAATATCACACCTTCAAATATTTATATAAGGTTCTCCCAGCTGCCTGGTGGTCCAGAGATGACACTTTATAATTCTCACTCAAGCAATCCACATGCTGGCAATGAGCGTTCCTAGAGACTGAGGGGAGAAGAAGGCAGAGGAGACCTTCCAGGTGATCAGCTGCACACCTGGGACCAGGTCAGCCATCTCCTCCCTCAATGGGTCCCACACTTGGGGAGATTACAGCTTGATTCAGACACCCCGAATGGTTTCTGGTTAGCTCACTCTAGAATCTCTATGATGTAAATTTCACTCAGCATTCTCTCTCTCTCTGAACGTCGCTCAGTCATGTTTGACTCTTTTGAGACCCCAGGGACTTTTGAGACCACCAGGCTTCTCTGTCTGTGGAATTATCCAGGCAAGAGCACTGGAGTGGGTTGCTATTCCCTTCTCCTTCCCAACCTCGGGGACGAATCCGGGTCTCCTGCATCTGCACTGCAGGCAGAGTCTTCACCATCTGAGCCACCTGAGAAGCCCCTAATCATAATTAAGCAAGTTAAACACGATCATGAGAGGATAAAGATTCAGATGAAAATTTAAAAGAAGATGGATTTGGTTCATTATACCCCGTGGTTACTTTTTTAAATTGAATGTGGACTCATGCCTATGTGCACACGATCACACATGGGTACATACACACTTACCTTTCATTGGAGTTCACGTCTCCTCATTCCCATCCAAAGCTACACAGTAAAATCCTCATGTGGCCATTTTGAGAACTATTTTTTGCTACTAAATTTTGCCAACAATCTGCTCAGCATTCTAGCAGATGTTTCTGTTTGCAAACCTCTGGGAACTTGGCTGGATCTGTTTTCTTTCCCCCATGTCAAAAATAAAAGAAATGGCCCAAATGCGGCCCAATACCCCAGAGAACCTCTTCCCCACCCGCCCCCTCAACCTCCCTACTCATATGACCTCTGTGATGACTTCTCAAATCTTTTCCATTAGAGAAGATGTTTCCAATTATGGTCCATTATGCTGCCAAGGATGACATCATTCCGATGTGCCTTTTTTTTTTTCCTTCCCTTAAGAAAACGCTACTGATTCTTGGTTACTTGGGACCCATCTGCAACAACTTAAGCCAGCTTGTCTGCTGAGCCTTCTGAACCCACAGTGTCACATGAGGGTAATTTGCTCAAGATCGATTCTCCAAACAGAACAACTCCCCTTCAATAGGGGGAGGCTGAAGGGGGACGGGAGGGATCCTTGTTTTTTATCTAAGGATCTCTTTGAAAACATCTGTGGCCCAACCTTACCTCGGTAACATCCATAACTTTGATGGCTGCCAGCTGACCTGTTTTAACATGTCGACCCTGAAAAACAGAAATGAAAGAAAGATAATTGGCACAAATGCTCTGCACCATGATGAGAACAGAACGGCTGAAGTTTCGACAAATCACCTCTTCTGAGCTTTTACCCCCAAAAGTGATGCTGACAGAGTCCCAGGCTCTCCCAACAGAACCATAGGGATCTATTGGTTTGTAAGACTTTGTGAACCACACTGAAATAACCTATCAAGGAGTATAACAAACAAGGTTTGATTAAAAAATCAATTCCCTCCTTCTTTCCTGGGTTTCATTTACATATCATTGCCTTTCAATCAGAACATCTTAAACCTTTTCTTCCATACCTCAGGGTGACCAATCCCTTTTTCTCAACATTCCACATGAAAGAAATAACAACAAAAAAAAGTCTGGATATCATACTGCCATCTGGGAAGCCCAGATATTATATTATTTACCATCAAAAATGGATAACAGTCATCTTCTGCTGATGCACCCCCAATAGCACTTGATTTTCCAAGAGTTTACTGAGTGTCTTCCCGGACACTTTCCTGTGGGCCCAGTGCAGGGAGGCTGCATGGTTACTCAGAACAAGGTTGGGGGGCAGGAGTGCATGCAGAGACGGGGTGCAGAGAGAGCACTGCCTTACAGCTGTGTCACAATTCCCGGCCCAGGACATAAACATCTGTTACTCATGTGTATCACGAGCATCTCAGACAAGCTGGGCACTGCTCTCCCATCCCCTCTGCCGACAGGAGCTTGCTCGCCATTGGCTCTCCCCCGCATCCCTCTCTGCACTGCCCTGTGGGCATCTCCCCGGCCAGCAACAATGCGCTGCCCTGACACCGTGAGCACCCTCTCCTCAAGGGCTTTGCAAAAAACGGTCCTTCTGCAGCAAACGTGAAGCAGAAGGCACGTCCCCAGACTTTCCAAGAGGCTGCCTCACTGTGGCCTCGTGATGGAAAGAGTTATGAACTTTAGAACTTGAAACCCGAGAGGGGAAGCTCTCCATTTATTCTGGAAAGCTTGGGCAGGGGCTCAAATTCCAACTCGGACAAAACAACTCCATGAAAATGACACTGAATTACTAAGGAGTCTCAGCTCCTTGCAGTCATAGCAGTCCCTCTCTGAGCAGGGCTGGGGACAGCCTGGATGCAGGAAAGTCAGACACACAGACCCCACAGGCCCGGAGCCTCCTTCCAACGTCCCCTACCTGCAGACCGTGCACCTCACCCCTACCTGGGCCACTGTCAGACGTCTGTAGAAGCCCCACCTCTGCAGGGAGGGAAGAACATTCCTCGTGGGCCAGTCCCAGGAGCCCTGCTTCCAGCCTTGTCACCCAATCCCACTGCCAGTCCCCGAGTGCCCTCTGAGTCACCAGCCTCATGCTCCCATCACATCCTCCTGCATCCAGCACAGCACAAGGGACAGGCTGCCACAGCTGTTTGTGTTAGTCGCTCAGTCATGTCTGACTCTTTGCGACCCCATGGACTGTAGCCCGCAGGCTCCTCTGTCCATGGGATTCTCCAGGCAAGAACACTGGAGTGGGTTGTTTTACTTCTCCAGGGGTCCTCCCGACCCAGGGACTGAACCTGGGTCTCCTGCTTTGCAGGCAGATTCTTTACCATCTGAGCCACCAGGGGAGCACAGCTGGGTGACCCACAATCCCAGCCCCACACTGCACATGATGTGACCTAAGGGGCTGTCCCCCGCTTGGAGGTAGAGGGTGGACCCCGACAGTGTGTTAGGGAACTGGGCGTAGTGGCCATGGTTGACTACCTGTCCATACACCATTCTGCGTCTGTTGACGCATCCGCCTTTGACTCTCACCCGAGGGTTCCGGGCTTTGGAGGCTCAGCCCCTCCGGAGCGTGGTGCCCACAGCTGTGACACGCAGACACGCAGGGCCAATGACCCTCTCTGGCTGCAGGACAGGGCGCCCAGCACGGGAACCACGGCCATACCCACACAAACGGCCTCCTCTGTCAGCAGGGACAGCGCTGCCCGTGTTATGGGGGTGTCACGGGAAAAAAACGATGGAGGGGCAAAAGCAGCACTCAGCACAGGGTCAAGGGCAGCCCTGGTGACCAAGTACAGCTGGACCCTGTCCCCCACCACCAGTGACAGAAGACGAATTTACCAGCAGAGACTCAGCAGCCAGGTGACCGTGACCATGGCCACACAATCCTGAAGCCAAGTTATAATTCCCGAGAATCCAAGAAAGAGGAGAACTTAAGAGGACAGCTAACTCTCCAGGCCTTTCCACGTGAGGGACGCCAAGATCAGCTCCCCCTCACCAGGGCGGCCCCCCAAACTGGACCCACAGGCCCGTTGCTCCTCCTGCAATGGTGTGCTCAGGTGGTCAGCCGTGTCCGACTCTGTGTGACCCCATGGACTGGAGTCCACCAGGCTCCTCTGTCCAGGGGATTCTCCAGACAAGAATACTGGAGTGGGTCTCCATTCCCTTTCTTCTCCAAGGATCTTCCTGACCCGGGGATCGAACTCGGGTCTCCAGCCCCCTAGGTCGATTCTTCACCCACTGAGCCATCGGGCAACACCTTCCTGCAGTGGAGTTGCTTCCACATAACCGGGAATGCAGAAGCCAAAAATAAAAGCTGGCCTTCAATCCCTGGCCTCTTCTCTCCCATGACAAATCAGGAAAAGTCGATGAAAGAACACCCCCAGAAGAACACTCTCTGGAATGTGAAGGCGAGTGTGAGCCAAGTTCAAGCCCCTCACCCATAGACTTGGGAAACTAAAATGTGTTCTTGTTGGTTCCTTCTTTTATCTCACAAATTTTCTTTCAATAAATATTGGAGATCAGAATGCTTTTGCTTTCTGTTGAGTTTAATTTGAGACAACTTTACAGATTAACTGCCTGAAGTTGACCTGTTTGCTTAACAGCAGAACCCATCAACGGGCTTCCCTGGTGCTCAGACGGTAAAGAATCTTCCTGCAAGGCAGGAGACCTGGGTTCGATCCCTAGGTTGGGAAGATCCCCTGGAGGAGGAACTGGCAACCCACTCCAGTATTCTTGCCTAGAGAATCCCAAGGACAGAAGAGCCTGGCGGGCTACAGGCTGACAAGAGTCGGACACGACTGAGCATGAAAAGCCCATCAACACCAACCTGAGCAAGCGGAGGGCGGCGGCCTGCTCTTAACAAATGGCCAGGATGTGAGCTGCAGGCTGAGAGGGTAGCCCACTACCCCTGTGCAGGGAGGTGGGGGTGGGGGGGGGTGGTACTGAGAGGGCTGCAAAACTGTCCACAAGAAGGAGCATTACATAGTGACAGAAAGAAGAGAAAGACGCCGCAGTCTGCAGCAGAAACTTAGCAAACAGGACAGGGTGAAGCTAAGTGCTCCGGGTCACCCTGGGTGATACGAAGCACTTTTAAAGGCGGAGTCAGATGGGACAGACTGTGAGGCCAGTGGTGGAGACCCTGTGCAGACCTCGAGGACTGCCTGGTGAGCCTGAAGATTTCAGGGGGCAGAGGGGTCCCCTTGAGATGTGAGCTGCAGACCATCCTCACCAAATCCCAGAAAGGAACACATGGGCAAGCGTCACCAGGCCAAGGGAGCAGAAAGAACCCAATGATTCAGACCCAAACACAAGAATTCTCTCAGAGAGGTGCAGGAACCCATGACTAGTGATTCTTACGCATTCTGAATTTTGAAAATCGCTTCTCCATACTTGCATGAAAAAGCCCAAATTCAAGTTCTCATATCCTTTCTGGTATTTATTACCATAAAGATACATACTCATTGTCTTAGTTGGGGTCTTGATACGGGAAGGTCAGATTTATAACAAACGAGCTCTAACAAATGTCGATTATGTTTATCACAGAAACAGAACTATGTTCTAAAAGGTCTGGAAGCTCAAAGGACAGGCAAGCCTAGTTCATCAAAACGGCTGGTGAACAGATGACAAAGTCAACCCACAATGCAAGCAAGAGACCATCCAGGGGCTCAGCCTGGTATCTCAGTTCTCTACCCAGAGGTATCACTCATAAGAATTCCAGCTGCGAAAGGGAGATGGACCCGGCAGAGCACAGAGAATTTCAGAGCACAGTGAAAACCCTCTGCCTGATACTATAATGACAGATTCATGTCACCACGTATCTGTCCAAACTCCGGTTGTACAACACCGGGAGTGAGCCGTAGTGTAAAGCGAGTGATGACAATGTGTCAACAGAGGTTCGTCAGTTTTAACAGCTATACTCGGGTGGGAGGGGAGTGCCACTAACGGGGAAGGGATATGTATGTGTGAAAACAGGCATACCCGTACCGTCCTCTTAATTTTGCTGTGAACCTAAAACTGCTCTTTAAAAAAGAAGTCTTTAAAAATTGTTTTAATTCTAAGGATAATTCCTCCTCACAAGCCCTTACTTGAAAGGGCAAACATGAACTCTAGCTGACCATGTGATGGACGGCGAGCGCTCAACGCCCAGCAGTGCACTGACCCCTTTCTAAGGCTCAGTGTCCATCCACGCCCAAGCCAAGACCAGCATGGCTGGTTCTGCACTGAAAACCCCCAAACCACACCCCACTTACGAGTGCTCTTTTCCAGGAAGTATCTGCAAAAAAAAAACAGCAACAGAGGAAGAGGGCATATTACCCAAACAGCATCCCCAAGCTACCTGAGATAAGGCAGCAGGTAATTAACTTGGGAGAGAGTCAAGCTCAGGGCCCTTCGGGAAGGCGCTCAGACGCCTGAACACCTCCTGACACCAGGGCAGGCAAGGGCGACAAGACCCACTGCACACACCTTCTCATCACAGTCCTCCGGAGCCCAGATCCAGTGAGGCAGGCACTGCGACAGTGTAACTGCCATCTACTGTAATCAAGATCTGTCCACCTACTTCTCCCTCTGTTCCACGCTCAGGGCTGTAGATGAGCAGGAAGACTGAGAAAACATAGGGAAATTAAGTGTCATGTGGCCAAGAATCGTGATTTAATAAGAAAAACCAAGCTTCTATTCCTTGAAAATTAAGACCTCCATAGGAATTCTAAATTCTATAGGAAATCTAAAGG